CAGCGGGGGCCATGGGGGCCGCAGGTTCAGAGCAGATTCGGGCCGCGCACCTCTGCGGTTTCCTCGGGCGCAGGAGCCGCACTGGGAGCCACGAGCACCGCCCCTGCCAGGGCCTGCCCGGGCCGGAGAAGCCCCAGGACGAGTGGGTTCGGCGACCAGGGGCCCAGGAGCGCCCCAGGAGAAAACGGTCCAGAGCAGGCGGGACGCGCGGGGCGTCCCTGCTCCAAGCCTCCGGGTCCTGGGCACTCGGGTCACAGCCTAGCCTGGCCCGCAGCCAGGCCCAGGGACAGCCCAGTGGGCCGCAGACCCGGGACAACCTCCGCCCCACCGCGGCGATGCGCTCTGTCTGCCTGCCTGGACGTGGCGCTTTCAGGACGGCTCTCTGGCCGTCAGATTTCCGCCCACGAAGTCGCCAGTTCGTCTCTGCCCCAGTAAGAGGCAGCTCCGTGAGCCCAGGACGTCTGGGACAGTCAGCCGACCTGCCGCGCGGGCCCAAGGGCGCCTGTCACCGCGCCCCTTGCAGTGGCCGCTCGGTGCCACCCGGGTCTGAATGCTCTCGGCCTCCGCCATCGTCCTGGGCAAACCCAACCCTGCGTTCTCCCTTCCAGGTCCCACACCTGCCAGGAACTCGCAGGACCTCAGATGCCTGCCCTGGCCAGAGGGAACAGGGGCCATCCACCCCAAGGCCCTGCAATCTTCAAAGAGGTTTCCCTCCCTGTGATCCTTGGAGACCGCACTGTTCAGGGAGGGGCAAGCACACGCAGGTGCCACCCAAGGACAGCTTAGAAATACGACGCGTTACTGTCCTCAGTCCTGGCCCTGGGGACACTCCCACACACAGGAAATACTCCCTAATAAGAGCTGCTTGGGGGCTATGTCGCTGGACTCCCATGTAGTTGACAGCGGTTCGAGTCCCGGACCTGGTGGCTTATAACTCACGCCAGGTGCGTGTGTGTGTGCCCAAGATCTGTCTTTCTGGAGTGTGCACGTGCCCTATAGCAAAAATCTCTTTAAAAAAATGGTGGCCAGGACCAGCAGATGGCCTAGTGGACACGTCCCTGGACTCCCCCATGTCGACCAGGGTCCCAGTCCCAGACTCTGGGCTTGAAACTCATGCAGGGCCGTGTGCATGCGTGCCCAAAATCCTAAGAGGAGAATGGAGGGGAAGGGACTGCAGCAACACCATGCATCTAGGGGGTGATTTCCTGTTTTCTGTCTGTCTCTCTGGAGAAAGCATGTAGTCTATAGCAAAATTCTCTCTTAAAAAAACAAACAAACAAAAAAACAAAAACAAAACAAACCACAAACAGCTGCCAGGCTCCTGGACATGCAGCGCTCTATGGAGCAGGCCCACAGAAGGTTCCAGGTTTGTGTCTGCTGAGGTCCCCAAGTGTGGGCAGCACACAGCCACAATCCGGGGCTGACGGGCCGATGGGCATGAGGACCCTGCTGGGGAGCGCGGTCGGGGCGCCCCCGCTGTGTCACTCACTCCCGGCAGAAATCTGGCCAACTCTGACAGCGCTTCAGGGGACAGGTTCTGAGAACCACAGGGCAACGCAGCACACCAGCTTGCTGTCTCGGTGCTCGTGAAGCACAAGTTCAGAATCTGCTTTAGAAACCGCCAAGGAGAGGGCTGGCACCGCGGCAGAGGCTCAGTGCTGTGTATTGGGAGCCGGATCCCACACGGTCAGCAGGGGTTTGAATCCTGGCCTGGGCCGCTTGAAAAGCACACCCACGCCAGCCTGTGAGCGCCTGGAAGCCTGCAGGGGCAGAGAGACGAAGGGCAGGGCTGTCGGCAGCCACGCTCTTGGGAGGGTGGCTTTCTCTGATGGGAGCACATGCCCTCTGGCAAATAAATACATACATAAACTGTGAGGGAGATTCCAGGCCGGGTTTATTCTCAGCAACTTTTTAAAATTTATTTTTAGATTGTTTTGCTATAGGGCACCTGAGCTTGCCAGACAGAGACAGAGATAGAAAGTGAGAAATCACCCCCCCACCCCCCACGGCCATGTCGCAATCCCTTCCCCATTCTCCTCCAGAGATTTTGGGCACACATGCACACATGCCTGGACCAGCCGCTGGGTCCAGGACTCAAACGCAGACCGCCACGTGGGAGTCCAGCAACGCAACCATCCTGCCGCCTGCTGGTCCCGTTTCGGCAACGCTTTCAAACGAGTGGTTACGCGCATCCCACAGGACAGGGCGGCGTCCGCACCACCGGGAAGTCTGGACAGCTGCCCCAAAGCCCATCTAATCACTCTTCACCAGTGCAGGAAAGGCTCCAAGCAAGGACACAGGTGCCAAGGGCCCGTCCTCCTCAGTCCTGGCGCGGAGCTCCACGGAAACCACACCCACCTGCACAGGTGCTGCTGGAGCTGGCCTGGGCCCTCGGTCCCATCCGGCCTGCGCTCCGCGTTCCCTGAGCCGTCCCCGGCCGTCCCAGCCCGACACGAGGGGGGCTGAGAGACACTCCAGGAAGCTTTTATAGATGTAAAATATTTTATTTGTAAATGGTGATCTTCTAAATCTGTGTCCACAAATTCCAAAACCCATAACACTCTGTATACTTCAAAAAATTCCATTTTGCCAACATTAGATACTATTATACAGAACAGAAAACAGCAGAAACCCGGGAGGACGAATACTGGTAGGGTGTCAGCGTATTGTACAAGAGAAGAAAAATATTCGGAAACAAATTTCATACAGCTATTTATCAAGAGAAAAATATATACAATTGATTTCTTCTGTAAGATAAAAATACCTCATGCCGTGTGCATTACAGGGTCCGCCCGCCTGTACACACAAACGTGGCCTCACTGAGCCTGCCAGGTGTCAGTACCGGAATCTCAGCACAAAGAAAACGCAACCTGGTTCAAAATGCTGATTAAGTCTCTACAAGCAAACACAAAACAGTGCTGTTTATTTTATTAAAGAAATGTAAACAAACAGTTCATACAAACACACTTAAAATTACATCTTCCAGAAACCCTACCGCCGAGTCCCGCAGCCGCACCTCAGCACGCGCTCACGCTCTCTCTTCCTTTCTCCATTTTGTGTTAAATAGAAGGCTAGAGTTAGATTTCAGTCCCTGCTACATATCCTAGTACGTTTACATGATTCTTCTGGCCTGAAACCGAGTTCTAATCCACTCCGCCTGCTGAAGACCACGCTCGGCCTCCGGGGTGGGGAGCAGCTGTTCACAGTAATCACCAAGTGTGAGCACGGGAGGCCGGGCTGGAGGAGGAGGGTGCCACGGACGCGGAGTATGAAAACTGAGTTCAAATTACCAAAACAGCTAGAAAATCGTCCTCGCAGACACTCGGTTGTCAGAAATCAGGTGTAGAAAACAATTAGGTACTAACAGCTGTAGGTTCCGAACGCCCGCACGGGGCTGTGGGAGTCACTGTCACGGCGAACGCGTGACACGGACCGACACGGGCATCCCTAGGAACGTGTGAGCACCCGAGCTGCTGCAGAGCCTGGTAGCATTTGGTCAATAACTATTTTTATACTGTATTTTTTCTCAAAATATTTACATATTTATACAAAGTAACAGGTTGGTTAGTTCTGCAGGTAACAGCAGCAGCTTGGCTTTCTTCTAACTTTTATTTAAAAATAGCTTCATTCACTTATTCAATAATAAATACAAAAAGTTTCTCTTATTTTACAGAAATCAAAAACTACAATAAACTGACTCATGGAATCAAGTATTTCAATGTATTTAGTGCAAGTTATTACCCCTTAGCTCTCTCCCTAAGGAAGTCGCTCGTACATTCCGCTCAGTGGTGTCTCCGGGCGGGCGCACGACGTGGAGCCCGGCCGCCGCTCGCTGGTGACCTCAGTCTTACATTCATGGAGCCCCCGCGGGGCAGGGCAGCCGTCGGCTCTGTGCCCCAGTAAAAGTTTCTCCTTAGCGAGACCAAACAAAACACCAAACCCACCCACAAGGAAAACAAAACAGAACAGAAACAGAAACAAAAACAAAAACGAAGGAAGGGGGGAGTTGGGGGGAGGGGGAGAGGGAGAGGGGGAGGGGGAGGGGAGGCGAAAGTGCTGGCCCGTCCATCTGCGGGTCTGGGCCCGGAGC